GAACACAAGGATGTTAAGTGTCATTAAATGTGAAACTTTGCTGAAATGAGAAAATTGGTTCAAATTAAATTCAAATACACTGATTTTGGGGTATTGGGGTGGTGCCTGACAAGCAATCGCTCATGGTCAGGTGGTTTTGACCTGAACAATTCGGCGATTATGGGAGAGTTCCCCAATCCTAACCATCCTTCCAGTGAGGTCGCAATGAGGTCGTTATAATTACCCAGATACATATATTAACTTATATAATATCAGTATATATTGAATGGTGATTAATGATAATCAAATCTAATCACATATATATATATATATTAGATCATTAGTGATAAATAATTTAATATTATCATTAATCACCATTAATCACCATTAACCACCATTAATCACCTCACTTGGCGAATAATAAAGCGGTCGCCTGGCTCTCATTCAGTTTTTCCAAATGCGCAGAAAGCCTCCAACGGCGGCTGGGGAAATCCCATCCAGGTCGAAGCTCAGAATGGGAAAACCCGCTGGTCATTTAAAAACAGCTATGGAAAATATTGGAAAATCACCATATTTAACCGCTAAATCTGCCAAAAAAAAATATGTTACCATCTGGTTATTTAACATAGCCATGGAAAATCACCATTTTTAATAGGTAAACCCAGGTAAACCATCTATAAATGGGCCATTTTCCATGGCTACGTTAAATAACCAGAGGGTATCTTCCATAGCAAACTGTTACTTTGCCAGAGGCTAGAAACGGCAAATCCCCATGTTCAATGGTGTCAACCCCGGATGAATAAACTCTGAATGGCGCAGGGGTCCGGGACTGACATGAGCAAATGACAAGTGGATGTGACCATTGTAGTTGCCAAAACATGAGATCATGTAGTGCTAATTTCCCTGTATTCATTGCTTACAGTAAGTAAATACATATAATATATTACAATATATTACAATATATTAAAACATATTAAAACACATTACAATATATAACAATATATTGCAATATATTGCAATATATTAAAATATATTAAAACATATTACAATATATTACAATATATTACAATATATTGCAATATATTGCAATATATATTGCAATATATTGCAACATATTGCAATATATTGCAATATGTTACAATATATTGCAATATATGGCAATATATTACAATATATTGCAATACATTAAAATATATTACAATATATTACAATATATTACAATATATTACAATTTATTACAATATATTATAATATATTACAATATATTACAATATATTACAACTTTATTACACTATATTGCACTATATTACAAAATATTACAATATATTACAATATATTCCAATAATAAATATATATATATATAACAACGATGCCCGTGATGATTCGACACCCCGCCCAACCGCCCGCAGTGGACCGCAATCTATTTTTCTGATGGTGCTGCAAGTTCGCCCATCCCTTGAAAGGCGAGGTCATACCTTGGTTGTCGGATGCATCAAAGGTTTCATGCTTGGACCTCCTAAACCTTGCAAGGGGGTAAACCGGGAACACGAACCTAACCAAGTGGGACCTAAGAATCCGTGTCCCCCCAGGTCAGATCTCCCCAGGACAAAACCCCCTCCACATCAGGATCACTGGTGTTTCCCCTCCTCAGGGAGGTCAAAACAAACCAAAACTCCTGACAATGAAGGGCCCTATCAACCTCACTTGATTTGACTAACCCTTCATTATTCTTATTATCATTAAAATCGTAATTGCTATCTCTTTGGGTATTGTGCCCTTGCCGAGCCGCTCCCATCATCTTTGGCCTCCTAGGTTAATGAAGGTGCTTAAAAATTTTCCCGTTGGTAGTGGGGGGGTGGGGGAAAATTTTCCCTCTTCAAAGAAGACAAAGGGAAGGCAAGATCACCCTTAAGTTCCTACGGTGGCCCGCCTAAAGCCCAAATGGCCACCACAACATGGTTGATCAAGCCATCCCACCGAATGCTCCACGTGCAGTTGTTAGTACGTGCAGAATGCACTGCCCAACAACGATGCCCGTGATGATTCGACACCCCGCCCAACCGCCCGCAGTGGACCGCAATCTATTTTTCTGATGGTGCTGCAAGTTCGCCCATCCCTTGAAAGGCGAGGTCATACCTTGGTTGTCGGATGCATCAAAGGTTTCATGCTTGGACCTCCTAAACCTTGCAAGGGGGTAAACCGGGAACACGAACCTAACCAAGTGGGACCTAAGAATCCGTGTCCCCCCAGGTCAGATCTCCCCAGGACAAAACCCCCTCCACATCAGGATCACTGGTGTTTCCCCTCCTCAGGGAGGTCAAAACAAACCAAAACTCCTGACAATGAAGGGCCCTATCAACCTCACTTGATTTGACTAACCCTTCATTATTCTTATTATCATTAAAATCGTAATTGCTATCTCTTTGGTTATTGTGCCCTTGCCGAGCCGCTCCCATCATCTTTGGCCTCCTGCTTGACCGTCGGTCGCGGCTACTGTTGCTTCAGGTTGTAGCACCGTCCGCACTGTGCACCTTCCTCCCTCAGGAATTGCCCGGCCGTTCCAAGCTCCGACCAGTGCCAGCCGCAACGCGTGGTCCAACCAGCGGCAGGTCCTCAGAAGTTCCCGAGCCGGTGCACCAGACCCGTCAGGTTGTTCCTCACCCGGGGACCTTCTTCTTGGTCTACCTCCTCTGGTTCCTCGGTGGTCGGTACTCCTGACACGTCTCTCGCCCCGAGAGCCCAACCGCCCGTCACCTTTCCGGCTCGCACCAACGGTCCGAAGTTGGTGGACCCCAGTGGGTTGCCGCCGGCGTCCAGCATGGCGGTGACCATTGTCTCGGCTGCACTGGCGGCGCGGACCAGCGGGACGCCTCGCAGGTAGGCCAGCATGGCCCTCTCCGATCGCCACCGCCCCAGGCTCCGGACTACTGCTTCCGAGAGCCCGGATTGAAAGGCCAGCACCGCCCCTGCCACTCTCAGGCTGTGGGTCGCATACCTGGCCCGGCCGTCGTCCTGTAGCGGTTCGCCGCTCATTCGGGCGGCTAGTTCGACGGCATTCAGGACTTGCCTCTCGCTCATGCGCCCGCCGTCATCGGCAGTGAACAGCGGCACCTTCTGCCCGGTGTACCCCAGGGCGCGCAGTTCCTTCACCCGCTGGATAGCCTGGTTCCACAGCGTGTGGACCGGGCACAGCCTGTGTGCCCCCGGACGGGTTCCAGTAAGGCAAACACAATCCCGGGCTATGGTCTCCCCGTGGGATTCCTGGTCGGTCTTCGACTTCCTTATGACCAGTGCCACTGTCCAGCCGGCTGTGCTCTGTCTGATGGCAACATCTTCCAGATCCAGGTTGATCACTTCGGATACCCGGAGCAGGTACCAAATCCCTACCATCAGCAGGTTGAACTGCGGGTGTCCCGCCTGTGGTATCGGGACCGGCTGTTTCCCCACAGGCGGTCCCCGTCCCCTCAATGCCATCTGTACGGCCTCCTTGCTGGCCAAGCTCAGAGGGCCATCGACATCGTGGTGCGTCTTATGCCTTCTCATAGCGGCTGACAGGTACAGCTCGGCAGACCTGTACCCCTGCGCTTTGAGGAACGCCACCACCTTGTGCGCTATTTCTGGGGTCAGTCGTGTTGGGTCTTCAGCCGGCACCAACAACTCCTCCCGGCGGAGCCGCTCTACGGCTGCGTCCCAGGTACGAATCCTTGTCCGCCATGACCGCCGGGTGGAAGCAGCTACTCCCATGCCCAAGGCGAGTCGGTAAGCTTCGGCGGGGAAGGGGGCCTTTGTCCAGTACCTTCCTTCCTGCCGGCGCCGGACACTCCGATCATAGTCACGCTTGGCCTTGGCCGCTTTCTTGGTCGGGCGCCCCTTTCCCCAGCCTTGACCTTTATTTCCCCCTCCGCCGTATGGGTCCCAACCTCCGCCCTTGCCAGGTGGGTCCCAATGCCAGCTATACTTGGAAGGGCTGTGCCTTTGCTAGTGGGTTAAGAGGTTAAAGATGTTTATCTAAGCGCTTGTTAAGCATATGCTTATCATATGTCAACATATTGCTAATATTCTGCTAACATGTTACAAGGTTTAAGATGTTTAGCTAAGAGTTTAGTTTTTTTAGCTAACCATCTTAAACATGTTAAGACTTTAGGAGGTTTAGCCTGTTTAGCTACTTTTTTCTCTTTATTTTTATATTAGTGACTTTCTAGCAAATTATGATTTGGCAAGTGAAAATGTGTTGCCAGGATTGGTGTTGAAAATACAATTTGGAAATTTCAAAGTAAAAGTATCAACAAAAAAAGCAAGGCATATTTCTTTTTTGTGATTTTGTGGAAACAAACAAAAATGCCAGTTGGAACTTGCTGGCCAATGTGCACACCATATGTATTTTGTTTGCAAGCAACACAAGTGCTGTTTCAGCTCTGTGTACCAAACCTGCACATGGCTGGTGCTTTCCAATTTCTTGTGGGTGAACCCTTGCAAGCATGCTTGTTGTTCTTTTGCTTTGAAGCTTTGATTCTATTGAAATTCTACCAGATTTGTTTTTGTTGCCTTGGAATCTTGCTTCCTTCCAACCAAGCTGTTTGTTTCTTATGTTTGGTGGCAATGCATGGCAGTCCTAGTGGCAATGTGGTATAGCTCCAGCCCTGGCTATGTTTGCAAACCTGAAAAAGGATGCCTGAGCCTTGATGGCTGTGTCAACCAGCCCATGGTGGCTATATACTTTACCAGCCTGCCATGGCTAACTTGTTCACAGCCCTGGTGGCAATTGTGTGCAAAATGATGTTTGCAACCCCAATCCTTGGTTGAGTGTGGTTGAACCATTTCCAAGCCAATGCAGCCTTGGCTTCTGAGTGTTGCAGGTAGTCTTGGTGCTTTTTAAACCATGTCTTCAGTGCCACCCAATGTCAAAAGCAAAGTGGATGAAATTATGGCCAGTGAAGACCCAGTGTTAGTCAAGGTTGAAAGGTTGCAGGAGCAATTGCTGCAATGTGGCTTTGACCCACCCTGACAACAGGGGTGGGCAAATGCTGTCAGCAGTGGATTGCTGGAACAAGGGCATGAAAATGTGGGCTGTGGGGGTGAGAAAAGAACTCCTCACTGGCTCAGTGGCTTTTGAACTGGCCATCAAGACTGACCAAAGAGAGAAGCAATTGAATGCCAATCAGAGGCTGGTTGAAGGTAGTGGTGGCCTGCTGGCTGCCATGACTAACCAAGAAAGGTTTCTCAGTGTTTCCTCTAGCCACTCCACTGCATGGCTGAAAGCAGTTGGCTCTGGATGTGGTGGGCCAAATGACATAGGGCCATTGCAGCTGAGGCAAGGTGACAGCAACAGTGATGCTGTTTCAACACTGCTACATGATGGCTGGCAATGGGTTGTAGTGAGCAGTGCAGTGGAGGAGGAATGGCCCAAAATGCCTGGCTTTTTCCAAATGGCCTTGAACAGCACCAATTCCAACAACAAGCAACTGTCTGAAATTGAATGTGCTGCCCAGCTGGCCCAAGGTGTACTACATGGTCAAGAGTTGCAAGTGGCCTTTGACGAATTGAAGGCATGTGCACCTGCTTGCAAAAAGTCCTTGGATGCAATTGCAACCTATGTCTCCAAGTTTGGTGGTGGCCAGAAGATGGAGTTGGTGATGTTTCTCCTCAAATTCAGTTTTTGGGCTGCACACAGGCATCACCATGCAGCACGTGCAATCTTCAACATGGCTTTCAATGATTCAGCCTCCACATGGCTTTGCCCTGGGCACTTGCAAGCCCCTAGTGGCTCTTCCTGGTGCTTGTTGTGTAAATACCAATCCTTGCTTTGTTGCATTTCAGCCTAGGCAAAGCTTTTGCTACTGTGATGATTGGGGAGGAAATGATGAAAGCCATCACCTACTTTGACCTCAAGGGTGAGCAGAACCTAGTGCCATTCTTCAGAGCTGGGATGCCCTTGGCTTGAATGGCGCCAGTAATCCTGTCTATTGCTGTTTTTTGACAAAAGTGAATTCTTGGGCTGGGCAACAAATTATTCATAACCAACATTCTTGAAGCCTAGGTGGGCAACAATGATGACAGCTTCCAGGCAAGTGGATGGGGTGGCAAAGCTGCTGGGTAAAGCAGACATTGAGAGATTGAAGGCACCAACAGTGAAACCAAAACTGTTGGAGGCAGAGCCCCTTGCCAGCACAGACTTTTCCATTGTTTTATCAAACACCAGCACCACCTAAAGTACCTGTTGTTTTTGCATTGTTTTTCTTTGCTGCTTCAATCTGTACCCAGACACCGGCCCAGGACCATACTGGAAGATTCCTGGTCCTTGCTTCAACAATCCCAGCAAGCAGAGAACTACAAGATGGCTTGCTTTGGGAGATTGGCAACAAGGCTGTGCCTGCATGTAATGCAGAAAGAAAAGCTTGGGAGAGAAGTCGATGGGCACAAAGACATCCCAACCATTTCCAAGCTTTTCACTGATGAGTTGGGTGGCATTGCTGTTGCACAGGCCAAAGCTGACAGTAATGAGTCCAAATTGCAAGTTTGTGACACTTTGGCAATGAGCAAAAAGGAGATGGCCTTGTTGCAGAATGTGCACATCAAGGAGAAGGAGAAGCAGCATGGTCAATGAGTATGCTTTGGGTTTTGCTGATCAATTTTTGCTGGCTGGATTTCCAAAAAGGTTTCATGCCCTTTTTCTTTTTAATTTCAAAGTGACTGTTGTTCCCAACCCACCAGGTACCAAAACAAGGACCATGCCAACAAGATCTTTGTACTGGACAAGGTGCACAATGACCATTGCATCTTCATCCACAAGCCATTGTTTGACCCAACCCTGGAAGTCAATGTGGATTTCTTGAAGTTGAAAGATTGGAGGGCAACCAAAGCATCAATGGCAGTGGCATGCCCCCAAGGGAAGGCAGAGAGCCACATGGTTCAGAAGAGTGGTGCTGTGGAATTGGAATTCCAGAAGAGTCATGTGCAAAAGTGTTTGCTGCAAGCTTGCATAGACAGTGACCCTACTTGCAAGGAAGTGGTTTTCTCCAGCAATCCAAGCCATGTGTGGGCTTCAAAGAAATTTGGCAAGAAGAATGCATTGAAGCTGGTCCCCTGTGGCATTGTCTCTTTGCTGAAAGGCACCCCTGTTGCTGACAAGCACTACATCAAAGCCTTTGGGAAGATGTGGTTGATTTCACAAATGAAAGCCTTGCAGAATTTCGACAAGGATGAAGGTGTGCTGAGCCCATTTTGGTGGGTCAAGTGTGCAGGTGATGGTGAAGACCACAACATGACCTTTGGTGAAATGTCAGTGGATGGCTGCAAAATCCCCATCTTGCAGAACATTGGGCCCATCCAGTCAAATGAGTGCTTGCTCATTGAGAACCCCAAGGACATTGCCAAGAAGAAGAAGAAGGTTCAAGAAGCCCAGCCCAGCCACTGAGTTGCTTCTAAGTCTGGTTCTGAAACATACCCAGCACTTTCAGTGAACATGGCAAAAAAATGGAGCCTGCTTTCCTTGTTTCACTTCTAGCCCCAGTGGCTGTGGCTAAATACAAGCCTGCATGGCTGGTCCTGGCTTGAAGCCTTCATGGCTGACAGGGGGTTAGAAAGCCTTTATGGCTGCTACTTCCACTGATCAGTGCTTGCAAAGAATTAAAGAATGATGTATTGTTTTGATTGCAAGGTTCTGGTTCAAGTGCAGTCTGGCAGCAGCAATGTCTGGTGTCAAAATCAGGCAAAGCATTGAAATTCAATGTGATGAAGGGAAGTGGTTCCATGTGCCAGGCACCTTGCTGGAAGAATATGAAGGGGTGGCCTATTTGAGACTGAGCGCATCTTCACACACCATTGTTGCTCTGGTGTCCCAGACATCAGCAAAGAAGAATGCATGTTTCTCAAATAGCCCCAAGCTGCAGGAGTTGGTGAAATTGAGGAACAGGGCACTGGAAGCACTACACCTTGGAGAAGATGGCACTGAAGATGGTGAGGAAAAAGAAGACATGTGGCAAGATGCAGTGCCTCAAAATGAAACTGCTGCTGGAAGCAAGAAAAGAAAAGTGCAAGAAAATTGTGGTAGCCATGTGGTGCAGATTTCAGTGGCTGACCAGCCAGTGCACATTCTGTGCCAAGGCACCAGGCCTTGGAAGGGGGATCTTCTAGTGAAGCTGGTGCCTGAAGAGTTGGCTGCAGTGATTGCATTTTTGAAGGATGGTGTGTCTGATGCCCTGAATGCTGCTAAGAGGCAGTATGTCAAGAAATCAAAGAAAGCAGACTGACAACCAGAACTGGTGGTGTCAAAACAGGAATGGCTGCTGCACAAGAAGCATTTGCCAACACATCAGCCTTCATGGCTTTGCACACACTAAGCCTGCATGGCCCCTTGGCCAAAGTTAGCCTGGAATGGCTGTGCTCCATGTGGTCTGTGTAATTGTGTGAAACTTTTGCCCAGTTGGTTTGAATGCTTGCCCCCCTGGGCTGTAAACCTTGGCATTTCAGGATGGTGTTGTCCCTATAAATGGTTCAAAACAGACATTGGCTTATGTTTCAATGTACAAATGAAAGCCTTGCTGCTACAGTTGCATGGGGATGGATATAGATGTACCACAATTCTGGCATGGCCCATATGTTGGCCAGAATGGCTTGCATCTCAGCCTGGGCTGCTTCAATGACTTGCCAAGTTTGCCTCCTTGCTTGGCATCTTGTGTGAAATTGTGTTCAAAACACATTGTATAGTTTAGGTCTTTTGTGCAGGTAGGTATTGCATTTACTTGTTGCAAGCCCATGGGGCTCTTGTGCTGTGTTCAGCCCTTGGTGGCTTGGGTCTTTTTTGTTTAGCCCTTGGTGGCTTCTCTTGTCTAGCCCTTAGTGGCTCAAGTCTTAAGTTCAGCCATTGGTGGCTCAGGTTTTGTTTGCTCTGCCCTGGTGGCATGCTTGATGGCTCATGTTTGCTGTTCAGCCCTTGTGGCTCATGTCTTTTGTTTGGCTGTCCCAGCAGGAGCCATTGTGCCATGATAGCAGCACTTGGCTTAAGCAGCTCCTGCAAGCTTCTCCAGCAATGGGCAGTGCAAGGCCAAAAGGCCCACAGACCTGGGAAGAAGGCCATTCAGCCAACAGGGCAACTGCCAGGGCATGGGCTGTGAAGGGACACCCAGAGGGCTCCTGGCTGCAATGTGTGGGGGCATCAAGTGTTAGACCTTGCCACTGCTGGATATGGACTTGGAGACTGAATGAGGACAACATGCGATGCAGGCAGTGTGATACCCTGTGGTGGTGGTCTTGGATTGTCAATGACTACAAATACTGGAACAACTGAGGAGCCAGTGCTATGTGGGAATGGAAAAAGCTGTTTGCATTGCAGCTGCAGGCTTCTCAGCCTAAATGTCTAGCCACTTTGTTTCCATGGCTGCCAGCTTAGCCTGAATGGCTTGAATCTGAGCCTGAATGGCTTGTACTTTGTCTTTAATGGTTTGTGGCTTGAATCCAGTGGCTGTGGCTTTAGTCATCATGTCTTGCCCCTTTGCTTGAATGGTTGCAAAATGTAGCCTGAATGGCCTGTATCTTAGCCTGAATGGCTGGTTCTTGGCTTAGCCTCAATGGCTGGCACTGTAGCCACCATGGCTTGCACCTTAGCCTCAATGGCTGGTATCTTGGCTTAGCCACCCACCTTAGCCTCAATGGCTGGAAACTTAGCCTTAATGGCTGACACCTGGGCCTCCATGGTTCTATGGTTTGCCTGCAGTGGCTTGCACCTTAGCCTCAATGGCTGTGAGGCTTCTTCAAGCATACCTAGCCCTATAGTGGCTGTAGCCTTTATGGCTTTCAAGCCCCACAGTGGCTCAACCAAGCCTCCTTGACTTTTTTGTTACACAAGTGTTTGGTTTCATGAAGTAGTGATGTTTACCCACTCTGTTGAATTTGGTTTGGTACCATGTAGTTTTCACAACATTGGTCATTGTTCCAGTATATGGAAAGTAATAACACCACTCTGCAGAAAGGGCACCATGTCTATTGCCAATGGCTTTTTGTTTGGAGCAAGCCTAATGTTTTTCCTACCTGCCACTGTTTGGCCCCATAGTGGAAGTGTAGGAACTGAATAGTGAAAGTGGAAGTGTAGGAACTGGATAGAGGTCTGAGAGCAATGCCAGCTGCTCCTCAACTGAAGGAAGTGAAGCACACCCAGGAAGTGACCTACCTTTACTTCGACAATGGAGAGATAAGGGAGACACTTGGTTTTCTCAATTATTTTTTTGGTGTCACCTTCAATGGGTCAAATGGTATAAGATCGACCATTGCTAATCAAGCCCCTGGTGGCTTTGGTGGCTTTGTTTCTTATCTCAACTAATTGTGGAATGCATCATCTCAGGATGCAGAAGTGGCACAGGTACTCCAATGTGGCCTTCTCTGGATGGATCACCAGGAATGGTATCCACTACCGAGTTGCAAAATACAGCAATGGATGGGAGAGCTGGTGTCTTGGATGTGATTCATTGTAAGGTTGCTATGTTTTTCCCCTGAAAGGTTTAAACAGTTCTTTTGAATGTTGGGGATGCAACACATTGGAAGACTAGGTACCCCAATGATGAAATCAGTGAATTGGCATGGGCCTGGATTGGACCTATCACCAAAATGCATTTTACATGCAACAAGTGGGTCCAGCTTCCAATGGTGGAACAGCTGAGAGGATGACTCTTTGGGCAATGGAGTGAAAATGCTGCTTGGACTTTGGCAAAGGGCCCTGGGAGCCTGAATGGCTATGCACGCCTTTATGGCTATTGAAGCCCTAAGTGGCTTTTATGTCCAGCCCTGGTGGCTTGTTTGCGTGTCCTTCTTAGTTTGACTGCAGTTGATCACCTAGAGCCCCAGTGGCTTGATATTTTACAATTGGATTGATTTTATCCAGCTTAATAAGAATCATTTGCAGCCTGAAAGGCTTGACACTTGCAGCTTTGATGGTTCATCTGGCCACAATGGCTCATCAAGCCCCAGTGGCTTTGTTTCCAGTCCTAGTGACTCATTGTTTTCAGCATCATTTGGCTAATCTATTCCAAGTGGCTCAATTTCTAGTCCTAGTGGCTGATTTCATACAGCCTGAATGGCTTCACTAGCCCTAGTGGCTTTCTTTATCTATAGCCCAAGTGGCTGTTATTTTTGAATGGTGGGATCACAGCAATTCATTTCAAAACATGTTTTTATTGCTACACTCTTGGTTCAGCAGCACTCCAGTGCCTCAACATGTATAGAACTGCATACATTTCATTTCTACATTTGTTAGTATAAGACAAACAAATCAGATCTAGAGACAATATCATTACAATTGAGTAGATGAATTGAAATGTATTTGAATCTTGATCAATTGAATATATATATATATTGGATTGCATTGGTTCATCATTCCATGAAGACTGGCAAACTCACTGCTTTCCAAAACACTGGTGCCCGATCTGAAGTTCCAGGTTCAGACAGTACATATATCAAAGAATACTGAACTACAAACAAAAAAATGTCACACATATATACCAAATATCAACAGGTAAAATTAAAAAAACAAATACAACAATGCAACAATTGGAACATGAAATTCTAGAATGAAAACCTTAATCTGGAATCTGGCAAGTGAAATCTTAGATGAAACAATTTAATGTAGAATTTGACAAATGAAATCCTAGATTAAGAATCTTAATCTAGAATTTGGAAAATAGAATTCTAGATTAAGAATCTTAATCTAGAATTTGACAAATGAAATCCTAGATTAAGAATCTTAATCTAGCATTTGAGAAATGGAATCCTAGATTAAGAATCTTAATCTAGAATATGAGAAATGAAATCCTAGATTAAGAATCTTAATCTAGAATTTGAGAAATAGAATCCTAGATTAAGAATCTTAATCTAGAATCTTGAGAATGAAATCATACACCAAGAGCCTGAACTCATAATCTGAAAAATAAAACCATAAATTCAAAATATCACTTTTACATTTTGACAGCAAAAGTTATGGATTTGGCAAAGAAAACAAAACAACAAACAAGCTCCAAAATTGAAACCCAAACTTGCATTGTTCTCTGTATGTTTGTATGTGTGTTTCTTTTACATTTTGAACTGTAAACCTTGATATACAACTGATATCAATAGATCTATTTTTTTACCTATAGAGTTTCATATAAACATCATGAAAACTTACAAAGCATCTTTTGCAAAGATATTGAATCTGAATCTGGAACTGTGTAGCAATTTAGTTGCACAACTGAAGTTGCAATGGCAGGGAATGAAGACTGTTTTGGAATTGGTCAAGCATGGCAACTACTTGGCATGGAAGTGAGGATGAAGCAAGAGGCACCTGCTGAGCCACCCAGCCCAGCTTCAGTGGTGGAACCATTGCATGAACCAGAAGAGATGGAAATGGTGGAACTGGAGGTGGACAATGACAATGAGACTGACACCCATCTGCAACAACTACAAGAGGAAGTGAAAGTGAAGCTGGAAAAACTCAGCAAGGATGGCTGCCTTACAATGAGCACCACAGCCACTGAGATGGAGTGCCTTGGCTATAAATAGTATTGATTTTGCTGTTTGTTTTTGTTTTCTTTTGGTTTGGCAACATGTTTGCTTATTTTGGTGTAGGTTCTGATCAAACACAGTTACCAGGAAGAAGATTGTCGATGCAATCAATGCTGAGAAGAAGAAAAGGGGATTGCCACAACCAGTAACTGCCAAGAAACTGAAGACCTATGATGGAAATGCTAGCAAAACAGCAAGTGGCAGTGGTTCTGGTTCTGCCAATGATGAGACTGAAAATGTCAAGGAGGAAGAAAATGCCAAGGAGGAACAGAAATGGTATTCCAATGTGGCAGTGAAAAGGGAAGAAGGCCACAGGAGTGGATGGATGAATAGGTGTGGCATCCTGCTGGCCAGATTGAACCGCGGTGAAAGGGACAAAGTGAAAGAACTCCAGAAACAGCAACTGGGAAGCTATCAACAACATTTTTTGTTTTTTTTGGAGTGTAAGGTATTTCTTTTTTTGTGATAAACCCATCAATTCCACTCAGGTACAATGCCCACCCTGCAATGGCAAAACTGCTGGTGATAATCAATGATGAGCTGGACAAGAACCATGGCACTGACTGGAAAAGAACCTATCATGATGCAAAATGATGGAAATGAAATTGAAAAAGGTAATTCATTCAACTTGAAAGGTACTGAGGGTGAACTGAAACTGTTTTAGAAATGGTTCAAAAAAAAGCATCATGGTAGGTGATCAGCAAAGGCCCATGCCATAACCCAATGGGTTGTAAGAGGTATGAAGCCTGTGTGGCTGCAGTGGTAAAAGTTGTTTAGCAGTGCTTGTTTTTTAGCCCTTGTGGCTTTTCTTTGGGGAGGGGAGGCTGACTTGCAAATGGTTGAGCCCAAAGTGGCTGCTTAGCCCTGGTGGCTTTATTAGCCTTAGTGGCTGTAGGTAGCCCTTGGTGGCTTTTGTTTAGCCCTAGTGGCTGTAGCTAGCCCTTGGTGGCTTTTGCTTAGCCTAGTGGCTGTAGTTAGCCCTTGGTGGCTTTTGTTTAGCCCTAGTGGCTTACATAGCATGTGTTGAGCCCCACAGCCTATGTTTAACCTTTTTGGCTATGTTTAGCCTTTATGGCTATGTCCAGCTATTATGGCTATGTTCAGCCTTTATGGCTATGTTTAACTTGTATGGTTTTGCTGAGCCTCTTAATGGCTATGGCTATGGTTTGTGGTGTGAGTAGCTGTAATGGTTGCTCACTTGTACAACCCAAACTCAAGCTTTCTTTTGGGGCACAAATGTCAATGCACAATGGGCTCCCAAGCCACATGGGGCTATTTGTTGAACAAAGCTGTCTTTGCTTGAGTGTTTTGTTATTCATGGCTAGGTAGCACTTGCAGGCCCAATGCAATGATAGTTTCCAAAAGCATTGTATCCTATAATATTTCCAAATAAACCACTTTCACAAAAACATTGTTCAAGATATGGTTACAAATTATTGCACACACAAAAGTATACAAGAAACTCACAGCTATCCACAGCATATTTTGTGTAAGTTGCATTTTTTTTTTGCAAACCCAACATGCTTCAATTTCACCTGCAAGTTTTTGGTCTGGAAAGTGAGGTGCCCAGTGCTGATTTGCAATGGTCTTGCCAATTTTGCCTATTCCTGCTGAAGAAGACCCAGGCAGCCAAAGCAGTAGCAACAACACATCTGCTCTTGAACATGTTCCTGAGGAAACAGTTGTCCACCCCAGTGGCACCACTACTAGCTGGGAAGAGATCTATTGGCAAGTGAGACTGGAGCCACCTTCTATCCCTGATTGGGATTCTGATGCACAGCACCCACTGCTTTGTGATTGTGAAGTGTGTGTCACATACTACACAGAAATTACAAATTCTTTAATGCAATCCTTGCCCAATTGATTTGCTTGGGCATGTGCAAACAAATTCAGTTTGTGTATTTGTGCAACTTGCATGTCTGCAGTTTCAAAACAATGTTGTGAGCTTTGCTTGCCTTTGGATGACCCAGCCTTTGATTGCTAGAAGGTACTGTTGAAGCCTAGATGGCTGTATTGATGCATTCTGTGTGGCAAGCCTTTCAATGGCTATACTCCAGCCCCAGTGGCTCAAAACCAAAGTGGAAGCCCAAGTGTGGCTATAAGTCAGATTGAGAGCTTTGGTGGTATTTTGTTATTTCAGCATTTCACCCAGGACTTTGCAGCCTTGGATTCATAGCACTCCTTGTTTCACCATATACACACTTTCACACTGGCCCATCATGAGCCACCAATGGTCTACAGAAGATTTTTGCAATGAATTGGAACATGTCTCCAAATTGCTGGAAGCCAGGCCTGGGTCCCAAGTTGGCAAAGCTGCTTTGGAAACTTTGAAGCAAAGGCTGCATGGAGTGACCTCTTGGACACCCAGTGCTTTGTCTGACTTGTATGAGAAAGTCACTGAAGCCAATTTGCCTGAGAGTTTGAAGGATGATGTGATGAATGAGATGGATGCCCTCAGTGCTTCTGGCCAAAGTGGTTTGCAACTTTCCCAAAGGCCCCAAAGTTTGCACAACCTGCCACCTTACCTGACCAGCAATGATTGGTTGGCTTTGGAGCAAGGCAGCAATGTGGATGGGCAGAGGGTCATTTGTGAAAGACTCAAAAGCCTTGGGATGAGGTCAATGAAAGAGGACACCAAAAGGAGTGCCATGGGAGTCCTGCTGCATGTGTTAGTGAACCTGCAGCACCAGCCAATGCCAAGCCCATGGGCAATCTACTGGATGGTCCAAGACTTAACCAAAACCTTTGGTCACTGTGCTAACAATGACCTCCCTGGCCTCAAGGTGTACCCGCTCTCCCCCAGTCAGCTCACTGCTGCTTTCAAGGAGAAGGCTTATGGCATTGAGCAGCCTGCTTTGATGAATGTTTCATTGGCAGCCATCTACCCCAAGATTCCCTTGAGGAGCACTTCCAACTTGTTGACTGGCATCCCAAAACCCCAGAGGAGTGCACCTGCTCCACAGGCTGCACTGGCAGATGGTGGCTTTCAGGAGAAGATGGAGAAGTTCATTGACCAGTACAATGAAGACAAGGAGAAAGCAGAACTGAAGCAAAAAGCTGGTGGCAGTGGTGGCACCAGACTGGCATTGCAGGATGTACCTTCCCCTGCAAGTGCTGCTCAGCCCTTGGCATTGCCCAATGCTCCTCCACTTCCATGTGCACCACACCAGGTGAATGATAAGCCTGGGTTGGAAGACTTTGAACAAATGGCCCATGATGCTCTCAGTAGCAAGAAAACTCGCAAAGTGATGAAGAGACCAGCAGCATCTTCAGCTTCTTGCAGCAATGGCCAGGAGAAGAAGAAGACTGTGAAGAAGGACAATGCTAGCACTTCCAAAGTCTTTGGCTGCTGCAGGTGCAGGGGAAACCCCAAAGGGTGTGAAAAGTGTCGAAGCCCAGGCTTCAAGGGACAGAGATTCAATGGAAGGCATGAGTGGAATGATATGGCAGCCAAAAAAGGCTGGAAGTGAGTGTGCTGTGAAAGTTTTCTGGGGTTCAATAGGTGCTGAAATGTACCTCTTGGCTGGGATCTGTTGGCAAAGGCCCCAGTGCCCAACATTGGTGGCTGTGTGCCTGGTGGGAGATTTGCTTCAAGCTTGGCTTGAAAAGAATAGCTTTCTGTTGCAGCATAGTTAGCAATTTTTGGTGGCTGTTGTTGTTGAGGGCTAGCCCAAGTGGCTATGACCAGCCCTTGTGGCTTATTCAAGCCCTTGTGGCTTTGGTTAGCCCTGGTGGCTTGTGCAAATCATTGTGACAAAAACTGTTAGCCCTTCAGTGGCTGGTTGTTGAGTACTGGCAAGCAATAGGAAGCCTTGCATGGCTAGTTCCCAGCTTTGAGTGCCAACCACAAAAGCATTGGATGGCCCAAGGCTTTTTGGTTCAGGGTTCAATTTTCATGGCCCTAGGCACTACCTGCATCCCCAATCAAATGTTTCTTCTAACTTCTTACCAAAGACATAACCTCACAGAATTTCCAATGTGACATAGGATAGTTACAGAATTGTTTCTACCACTTGCAGCCATGGCAGAAAGATCTGCAAAGCTACAAAAACTGAATCTTCTAAGAAGATCAGCGCCCAACTGTTCAAAATCTTCTTTGGAAGCCATTGTCAAACACATTGCTGAATATGGGCTGCCAGAGATGGCAGGCAGGAAGCAAATGACAGAGGCTGCACAAAGATACCTTGACCAATATCATGCTTATGGCCCTTTACTGTACAGCAAAGACTTCAAAATGACAGATGGCAATGTGGTGGCCATCCCTTTGGTCAATTTTCATTCTTTGCTGAGTGCTTGCTACAGCATCAATGGTTCCTTCTACAACTCCCTGGCTACAGCCATTACTTCTTTGGGAAATGGGCCTGGCAATGAATTTGACCTCATTTTGTATTCTGATGAATGCCTTCCTGCAAATGCTTTGGGGAGGGCCAACAAAAAAGTCTGGGTTGTGTATTGTTCCATCAAGCAATTGGGCAGGGCAGCTCTGAGTCACACACAAAATTGGCTTGTGCTTGGCATCATCAGGACCAGCATTGTGGCAACTTTGGAAGGTGGAATGTCACAAGTGGTGAGAGCAGTGATGGAACAAATCTTTTGCAGTGCAGTGGCATCACCTTTGGTTGGTGTACTTCTACATGGCCCCAGCAATCAGGAGTGCAGACTGTTTTACAAACTAGGTTTTATTGTTCAAGACGGTGCCTCTCAAAAAGTCACTTTTGGACTCAAAGGGGACAGTGGCAGCAATTTCTGTCTGAAATGTTGCAATCAAATTGTCTTTTTGCATGAAGGGGAGGAAGATGCAGAGAAAGCAGTTCTCAGAACAATTTCCAAAACTGAATTGGTCCTAGCAACTGATGATGAAGCTTTGGCAAGTTGGGACAGAATGGCACACAGGAAAAATGCGTGCTCCAAAAAAGAGTTTCAAGTTTGGGAGCAATGCGCTGGCTGGACTTTCTCTGAAGAAGCTTTACTATCTTCTCCAAGCTTGAGGCCTTGGCTGAAACCTTGCACACAATATATGCATGACTACATGCATGGCATGGTATCCAATGGCACTTTGAACATTGGCATGTACTTGCTGTTGGAGCATTTGCAATCTGAAGGCCTTCCAGCTTGGCATGCAATGTCGAACTATTTGGATTTGTGGTGCTTACCATCAGCTTTGCATAAAGTGGGTGCTTTGTCTTCTTTGTTTACAACTGGCAAAGTGGATTCACACAGAAATGCCAACAAAGTGAAAGCAACTGCAAGTGAAATGCTGTGCTTGTACCCCATTTTGCAGCACTATGTGGAAAAGATCGAATCTCAAGGTGGAGCTTGTCCTGCAACTGATGCTTTCTTGAAGCTTTGTCACGTGATGGATTTGCTGGTGGCAACACCAATGGGGTGTGTGACTGGCCCCATGCTTGACAATGCTGCCTCCAAAGTTTTGGTAGCTTACAAAACAGCTGGGTATTCAGACCATTG